TCCCCCTAGGTAATCCTGATATACAGAGAAGGTTGAAAATCAGGGCTCCAAAGCTCATTAGTCAATGATTATGTTAATAGTGGAGTTTCAGCTACTGTAATATTTAATCATTTTACATCTTTGAGTCTCTAACTGAAAATATTTATGGTGGGAGTATACCTTAAGCCTCTACTTTCTAGGTTTCATTCCACAGAATTTAAAATGTTTTCTGCAAAAAAAAATGCTCTGGTCAAATAAAAATGTTTTGCTTAGGCTCATGTTTCTCAAACATGTTTAACCATGAAAACTCTTCCAGGGAACCTATGTTGGTAACCTCTACTTTTATAGCTAACATCTTCTTGAAAATTGGCAGCTATAAATAAGGCCCTAGACTGGAAGCCTCCAGGATAAAAGAGCTAAAAATGATTTTTTAAAACATCAGAAACATTTCAGCACCTTTTTTGGTGGGGATGGGAAGGCGTAAAGGGTGATAAATAAGCAGCAGTCCTTGCCCCCAGGTCTATAAAGAAAATAATCAGATTATACTCTAAGGTCTAAAGCTCAAAACCACAGGCATTATGAAGATACAGTGAAGAAGACCAACACATGCCTGGTGGCAGAGAGGGGCACCAAGATTACCAAGGATTGCTTCCTGTGAGAGTAATGCCTGGAGTTGGACCTCAAAGGAATAATTAGTCTAGAAGATAGAGAAACACTCAAAAGCAAAGGGGGCCACAAAAGTGAAAATACTGAGGAATGTAAATCAAACCACCCTAAAATACCATTTTTCACCTAGCAATGTGGCAAAGCCCCCAAAATATGATAAACTGATTATGGGGGAAAAAAAACCTTTGTACATTGCTGGTGAAGGTATACATTTGTACAGCCTCTCCAGGAAACAATTTGTTAATACCTATTACAATTTCAAATGTGTATGCCTTTTGACTCAGCAAATTCACTTTCAGGCATTTATCTTAGTGCTTCATTCACACCTGTATAAGTGAACATCAATATTATTCATTATGGAATGTATTTTAATAAATTAACATATGCACACAATGGACTACTATACATACTATTTAAAAAAAAGAACCAGGGTAGAATATCTTAAATAATATGTTATCATGGAGTAAAAAGGGATAGAACAAAGAATAAGAATATTTCATTGTGTTGATTTGTATGTATAGATCATTTCTGAAAGTAAACACAGGAATTGATAACATTGGTTCCTTCCAGGGATAAAAACTGAATGCTAGGTGATGAGTAAGTGAAAGGCTTTTCATTATGTAGTCTTCTGCATCTTTAACATTTTGAACCGTTTTAATGTGCTACTGATCCATAAATAAAATCAAATCACAACATATTATGGAAATTAAAGCAATTTGAAATTAATGGAAAATGAAGTTCAAGACAAGAACAGATATGAAGTTCAATGGGTAACAGACAGAAGCCAGTTCATGAAGGGCCTTGTTTGGCATACTAAAGATCTTGAAGGTTTGCCTACAGCAGTGTTTCCCAAAGGAAAAATGCAGTTCCCTGGACAAAGAGTTGGCAACCTTAAGAGTGTGTTTCAGAAAGGAAGAATTTGGAGTCTTTACAAACTGAATCAGAATCATGGGGGTTAAGCATCTGCTTTCCAACAAATTTCCTAGGTGATTCTGCAGTTCATGCTGAGCTTCTGAGGAGTTCTAAGCAGAGGAGTAAAGTGCCGTGATGTTCACTTCAGATAGACCACTCTTGTACCTGTGTCTGTAAGATTGAAAGGGGTGGGTTCCAATGGAAGGCTCTGGCAGTACTCCAGATCATGTTTTTTTATTTGATAAATACTCATATTGCAAATACTGCACTCACTGCACACTACATTGGCAAGAGTATGTTCTGCCCAAGAACTACAACCTAAACTACACCATCATTTTCAGGAAACAAAATCCAAGGTGCTACATTTCCCAAAACTGCAGAAGGCAATAACTAGGAATAATTTAATCCAATAATAGAGGAGCTGCTAAATTATTCTATCCCATTATGAAGATAATTTAAAAAGAAAACTAAAAATGGGAACCATTAAAGGGGATTCTCTCTGGGGTTGTAAGACTTGAGTGCGAGGAGAAGGGGGTGGAAACTGCTTGTTTCTTACTCAGTTTACATTAAAATATTTTAAAGTAAAACCTTCTCTTTGGCAAATAAGGCATATTTATGATGTCAAAACCCTTCCAGTCAACTTTAATTCAGCTAAAGGTCTAATTTGTTGAGTGTCATGGACCCTGTTAATACTAAGTTCCACTAGATGTCTTATGCTGCAAGTAAACTGTAGTAAGTTTAATTAGCCCTTTCAAGTTTAATAACCAGTAGAAGTAAAATCCTTGACTAAAAATTCTCTGTTCACAAGAAAAGCCACTGATCAGTCAGGGGAAAGGAAAAAGCAAGATTTAAATATAAAGGTAACCTGTATGAAAACATAGGTAAAAGTCCAACTCTGACCCAGTCTGAGGGTGAAAACCTATTTTGTACATGCTTTATCAACTAAGAAGTATTTCCTCTAAGTTTCTAAAAAGTGAGAAAACTATGAAGCTTAGGGCTGGTTTGCATTTTTAACAAGTAACCTAATACTTGACCTATTTTGCAACCTATTTAGCAACAAAACCACCACAACAAAAGAGAACCCTCTGATACAAAACTTCAGGTTACCTGCCTGACACTGTAGACATAATAAGAATGGTGCCACAAGACTCAAACACACGTCCAGTGGCAGGAATCATACCTAAGTCCCATGATTCATAACTTTAGTATCTTTTGCCCACGGAAAACAGCAAACAATATTAACCATCTTACTACACCTGTTACAGAATCCCATTTTAGAACAACTTCACACAGCCCTGTATTCTTTGGCTTGGGCTCCACCTAATGCTATTCCATTCTGAATATTGTCCTTAATGTAAATGCTAAAACAAACTCCAATCAGTAAGGAACTGATCCAATAAAATTTAATTGAAATGACAATTTCACTACCTTGCAATTACAAAACTGTGCATTATATAGTCCAGAAATCTTACTTCTAAGTTTTCTTATTCCAACAGCACTACCTAGCCACAGACAAATATTTACCTCTTACAGATCTTGCTTCAGATACTTGAGTGGTTACACTAAGTAGTTTGATTTTTAAAGACTTATTGATTTGCCTACATTTGAAGTTTTGATTAGTGGCAATGTAGTTCAGAGGTCCAAGAATTAATGCCACCCATTTTCCTGAGGCCTTGCAAAAGTTACCCAGTTTCAAACTGCCAGCACTAGAAATGGCCTTGGAGGCTATCTAGTCCAACCCTGGTTCTTGACCTAGGTGAAAGCACTTTGAAAATATGACAGTAGTGCTCAAAATGTTTTACTTTCACCACCTCTGATACCCAGAGAAGACTCACAGGAAGCTAACCACACACAACCAGGGCTTAGAATTGCACGCCCCGGACCCCCAGCCCCATCCTCGGAACATGCCAATCAAGTGTACTATTTTAAATTGTTCTCAGAGATTCCCATAAAATTGTATGAAGAACATATTTATGTGTATATGGCATTTGACAATGTCCAAAATGTAGATCTTGCAAAATCGGCAGCACAACTCAACGGACACAACTCTCCCAAACAGAAACAATGTGCTTGCTTCTGATACTATTATTTCCTCCTTGCCAGTTTCACTCCCCAACACAAACTCAACTTCTCCAACCTCCTGCTCAAACTGTTTGCTAATTTACTCTTTAAATGATACAAGTATTTTCTGTAACTTGCTACCTTCTAACACTTGGGGAAAGGAGAGGAAACAATTCTGCACCTAGCAAAGATGAGTGCTTCTTCACTTAACTTCTTCAGTTAGCTCATTAAAGAACCAAGAAGTTGGAAAAACAGATTCAGTACTTAAGCAAAGATGATTTACAGTTCATTTTGGTTCCTCCATAAAATGTTACAAAAATATGCTGCAGATTACAAGCCATAACAGGAGTTTATAACGGCTGTCTAATACAGAATTTTCTGCAAGATTAGGGTTATTAGGCAACGAATTCCAAAGCCTTTTGGTACAGTGTCAACAATTAAAGAGATTTCTGTGCGGTTCCTGGTAGCATTATCACCCCTATTCCTAAATTAGTGGATGGGAACTTGGGATCAGAAGTTTCAAAAGAGAGGGAAGGGAGATAATTAATATTCAAGCTTTTTTTCCTGGGATAGATTTATATACTTTGCAGAGATACTAATAAATATCTAAATCAAATATAGTCTATTGTAGAGATACTGCTACATTTTAGACATAGGCTATTTATTTCATAATTACCAGGTTTACCTGTCCTTTGTCTTGACCTTTCCAGTTAATAACATATTCAAAGTCAAATTTTCTCCCTTGCTCTTCCTTGAACCAAGGACACCTGTGCTTTTAAAACAAGCTGCTAGAACCCTGCATGACAACCGCATTCCAGAAAGGAAAAGGCTCACCCTGACCGGCTTTACTGAGATCCCAGGCCTCTCCGTCCCGGAGAGAAAAAGGGGGTGTGTCCGCGGTACCTTCGCCCTCTTTTCCACTGCCCGCAACCGCGGCCCGGGGCCCCCTTTCTAGGGGCGGCCTGGGAAGTTGTTACCACAGCGTCCAGATCTCAGCCACCGGCCCACCTTTCCTGGGGCTGTTGCTGTTCCCAACAAGTTGGGGGGAACTGGGCACCTAGAGCACAAATGAGTCCCCAAAGCCCTCCCACTATGGGAGCCTCTCTTCCCCCATCCAAGGTTTCCTCGGGACGCCCCGCCCGGGAGAGGAGGGTCTCTGGACTACCAGTACCTCTCCCTCCCTGTCACACACACACAGGTAGGGGAAGCCTAGGAGCGAAGCCAGAGGAAGTGGGGAGCAGCGAGCAAAGCAGGCAGAGCATCTAGGGCGCCCGGGAAGGGTGGTCGTCCAGAAGGGTCTCGCGTGCGGGGAAGTGGTTGCCCCCAAAGCCTCCGCCGAAACCAGGCCGAGCTGAGACAACTGCGGGGGCGCCGGGACCCACCAGCTGCTTCAGGTCCTCCTCCGAGAGCTCCGCATAACGGTACCGCTTCTGCTCGAACTCGTACCGGGTGGTCTTGGCCACCACCACCACCCGGGACGGGCGGAAGCCGCCGTCGGGGCGGCTGCCGCAGCCCGCCAGCTCGCACGGCTGCCCGTGCCCCAGGTGCCGCCGGCCGCCGCAGTCACCGCCGAGTCGCGGCCGCGCGGCAGGGCCTCCCGCGCCCGGCCCCCTGAGCGCCGCCGCCCGTCCGCCCGCCACGCGACGACAGCTGCCCAGTAGGAAGCCTTGGTAGCAAGTCATCGTCAGCCCGGCTGGGCTGCGGGCGCGGGCTGCTGCCACCGCGCCCCGCCGCCAGAACTGAGCGCCGCCCAGTCCTCTAGCTTCGCGCGGGGAGGACCGAGGTTAAGTGACGGTCGTGCGTGGCCCGCGCCGCGAGGGGGACGTGCCCAGACGCTGACAGGGGAGAGGAACCCCACGCGGGGGAAAGATGGGCGGGGAAGAGCCAGAGGCCTCGGTGTGGTAGGTTTTGTTTGTGTAGCCGTCTCCATCCACGCCTGCGCAGTGGCCGCTTCGCCACCGGGAGGCCGACCTCCCGCTCCACCCCTTCCCCGGGTGCGTTCAAACATCCACCCGCCCGCCCAGGCCGTCTCTTGTCGGCCAATCAGAGCCCACTGCGGTTTCGGAGCCCGAGGCACTGCGGGGATTGGCTGCGGCCGGGGGTAAGAGCTGGAATTCTATTTGGCGATTGAGCTGCCCTGAGGAATCTAGCTGGAACCGGTCTCAGGCAGCGTTAGGGCTCTGTGTGCGGTTTTGAGCTCCTAGCTGGAGGCAGGCCGGGTGCCGAGTACCTTTTCGCTTGGATTCGGTTGTTTTTCATTATTGCAGCGTAAGGCCATACCACGTAAGACTAGGTCTTTTCGTATTGTGCATAAGCCTGAACTCTTGTTCCTTCATGTTTGGGATGGCTGAGCTAGGGGGCCGAGGAGACTGACCAAGGACTTGCGGCATAATTTGTGGGGCCTAGTGCAAAATGAACATGTAGAGTTTCTCATTCAAAAATTATTTAAAATTGCAAGACGGACAGAGAGTAGTAAACCGGCCAGTGCGCCCATCTAAGCATGGTGCCCTGTGGAAATGCACAGGTTACAAACCCCTGCTGCCAGCCAAAAAGCTGTCCGTCCAGGGGGAAAAAGAGAGGAGCTTTTAAAGAAGTTAGGGGAAAATGGATAGAGGAGTCTGGCCAAGTGGAGGATTTCGAGATAGCGAAATAAGGTTGGAAAAGTAGATAGGGCAAGAAGGGTTAAGAATGTTTGTAAATTTGGACTTTATCCTATAGGCAGTAGCTAGCCTTTTGGAGGCTTTTAACTGGAAAGGAATGAGCCCTGAAAGCAATGTTTGGTGACTTGATCTGTCTTTGGAATATTGATCAGATTGGGACGCAAGAGGAGGAAGGGAGTCTCGGGCCCTGCTGGTGTAGTTTCATGGGCCTGGGCTAGAGTAGTAATAATGGAAATAGAAGAAACGCTCTTGTTATAAGGGGAGAATTCAAAGGCAGTGCACATCCTCATCCCTCCTGCTCCTTAGATCCACTTCCTTTGGCTCCCTCTGCCTCTTTGTAGTTTTAGCACCATCAGTAACTAGCTTTGGGACTTTGGACAGGTTACTTCACCTTTCTGGGCCTCAGATTCCTTCCTCATCTATAAAATGGGGGAGTTGAACTAGAGTGACACCAATGTTGTTCGAGCCCAACTTGATGCCAAATTTGTGACTCTTTTTTAAAAAGCTAGCCATCCCCACTAGCATTCATTCACAGGTTCCCTGAATATTTATTGTGTTCTTATTACAAGCCAGATGGTTTATTAAACTGGCAAGTACACAATGGAATCTCAGAGATGTCATTTTTAGTAGGTCACTGACCTGTTCTGGCCAGGAACTTTGCCTCATAGAAGCTGCTAATAGTGACTTGTGGAAATTTAAGCACACCTCTTAACTTTTTTGGGATGTGAGTTACTCATTTATTACTTTAACATCCTCAGGTCCTTTGGATTCTTACTATTATAGTAAAGATTTCCACAGAGGAAACAGCTTGAACAAAGGTATGGAGTAATGAAATAGCAGTTCTGAATTGCTAGAGAATTTAGAGGGAAGCAGGCCATAGTGGGAGGTGAGGCTGCAGAGTGGAAAGGGGGAAAAACATGAAAAGCATTATATCCATGCTTAGGACCTTGGCCTTTATCTTGAGTGATAAGCCACTAAAAGGAGAAAATGATATGCTTAGCTTCACAGAGACTATGAGCAGGCACTTCTTTGAAGAAACAAGCAGTAAGTATCTGAAAGATACTCAACCTTATTAGAAAGTACAAATTAAGGTAATAGTAAAATAGTCTTTTATATCCACTAGATTGGCAGAAACAAAAGTTTTGGTAATCCTCTAGTTGTTGGAAAACATAGATCATCAAGTCTTTATTAGGCTAAATATTTGCCAGTTACTTCAATAACTTCTCCAATGCCATAGTTTCCACTAATCATCTCAGAAACTACAAATGTGTTCATGTAGTCCAGTTTGTCTATTCTCTGATGTCAAAAATTACCCAGTACTGTGTGTATAATCTGGCCATTGTAAAACAAAAACGTGCTGGCATTCGTGGATCTAGTAACAGTTTCAACTACTCTCAAACAACTGAAACAGTGTGTAATGTAGTAACTTTCAAACTCAGATCTCATCTATAGCAAGACTGGTGTGCTTGTCCAGTGAATAGCCTACCCAGCCACCTGGTAGCCACATCCTAAGCAAGTTTAATTGATCTCAACATTTTATGGGAAAAGTTATATTTCATTGTAACATTCACAATTTGAAGATGTACAAAGTTTAAGATGTGTCCTTCCCATCTCCAACACCCTCCAGCTCACTTCATGTGCATTCTGACTGTGAAACCCTCTTTTTAATAACTTCCACATACTCTAAGACCTGTATAGAATATTAGACACTGGGGTCAAAGTGTTCCTGGCTTTGGCAGTAATGGATGTAAAATATTTTAAGAGACAACATTTTGATGGTGCATAATTAAGTTGGAGGCTTGGTAAAGTCCTGTTGAAAGAGAAGAATGTTTAGCTTATCTTAATATAAGATACATAATTAATAACAGCAAAGAGCTAAAAGCTTTTCCTCTAAGATCAGGAACAAGACAAGGGTGCCAACTCAACACTTTTATTTAACATAGTACTGGAGGTCCTAGCCACAGCAATCAGACAACACAAAGAAATAAAAGGCATCCAAATTGGTAAGGAAGAAGTTAAAATGTCACTGTTTGAAGACAACATTATATTATACATAGAAAACCCTAAAGACGCCACCAAAAAAACTATTAGAACTAATAAGTGAATTCAGCAGAGTTGCAGAATACAAAATTAATACACAGAAATCTGTTGCATTCCTATATACTAACAAAAAATTAGCAGAAAGAGAAATCAGGAAAACACCTCCATTTACAACTGCATCCAAAAGAATAAAATACCTAGGAATAAAGCTAACCAGGGAAGTGAAAGACCAATACTCTGAAAACTACAAGACGCTCATGAGAGAAATTAAAGAAGACCCCAATAAATGGAAATACATCCCATGCTCATGGGCAAGAAGAATTAATATTGTCAAAATGGCCATCCTGCCTAAAGCAAACTACAGATTTAATGCAATCCCTATCAAAATACCAACAGCATTCTTCAATGAACTAGAACAAATAGTTCTAAAATTCATGTGGAACAACAAAAGATCCCGAATAGCCAAAGCAATTGGGAGGAAGAAGAACAAAGCCAGGGGTATTATGCTCCCTAACTTCAAGCTCTACTACAAAGCCACAGTAATCAAAACAATTTGCTGCTGGCACAAGAACAGACCCATACATCTATGGTACAGAATAGAGAGCCCAGATATAAACCCAACCATATATGGTCAATTAATATATGATAAAGGAGCCATGGACATATAATGGGAAAATGACAGCTTCTTCAACAGCTGGTGTTGGCAAAACTGGACAGCTACACGTGAGAAAATGAAACTGTATTATTGTCTAACTCCATACATAAAAGTAACCTCAAAATGGATCAAAGACCTGAATGTAAGTCATGAAACCATAAAACTCATAGAAGAAAACATAGGCACAAATATCTTGAATATAAACATGAGCAACTTTTTCCTGAACACATCTCCTTGGGCAAGGAAAACAAAATAAAAAATGAACAAATTGGACTACATCAAATTAAAAAGCTTCTGTGCAGCAAAGGACACTATTAGCAGAACAAAAAGGCATCCTATAGTATGGAAGAATATATTCATAAATGACTTATCCAATAAGGGGTTAACATCTAAAATATATGAAGAGCTCACCCACCTCAACACCCAAAAAACAAATAACCTTAAAAAATGGACAGAGGATCTGAACAGACACTTCTCCAACGAAGATATTCAGATGGCCAACAGGCACATGAAAAGATGATTTGCATCACTAATCATCAGGGAAATGCAAATTAAAACCACAATGAGATATCACCTCATACCGGTTAGGATGGCCAACATCCAAAAGGTAAGCAACAACAAATGCTGGTGAGGATGTGAAGAAAGGGGAACCCCCCTAAACTGTTGGTGGAAATGTAAATTAGTTCAACCATTGTGGAAAGCAATATAGAGGTTCCTCAAAAAACTAAAAATAGAAATACCATTTGACCCAGCAATCCCATTCCTAGGAATTTAGCCTAAGAATGCAGGAGCCCAGTTTGAAAAAGACATATGCACCCCTATGTTTATCGCAGCACTATTTACAATAGCCAAGATATAGAACCTAAGTGTCCATCAGTAGATGAACGGGTAAAGAAGATGTGGTACATATACACAATGGATTATTATTCAGCCATAAGAAGAAAACAAATCCTACCATTTGCAACAACATGGATGGAGCTAGAGGGTATTATGCTCAGTGAAATAAGCCAGGTGGAGAAAGACAAGTACCAAATGACTTCGCTCATTTGTACAGTATAAAAACAAAGCAAACCTGAGGGAACAAAACAGCAGCAGACTCACAGACTCTGAGAAGGGACTACTGGTTACCAAAGGAAAGGGATTGGGGAAGGTGGGTGGGGAGGGAGAACGGGATTAAGGGGCATTATAATCCACAATCACAATATAAGTAAATCCATTGGAAGGAAGTATAGCACGGAGAAGACAAGTAATGACTCTATAGCGTCTTACTATGCTGATAGACAGTGACTGCAATGGGGGGCGGCAGGGGTGTGGACTTGATAAATTTGGTGAATGTTTAAACTGCAGTGTTGTTCTTGTGAAACCTTCATAAGATTGTATATCAATGATAGTTTTAAAAATGCATAATTTGATATGTTAAATATGTATCAGTATATTTGGGGAATAATTAAGCAAATTTTAATAAAAGCAGCTTCTATGGAAATCTATGAAGATGTATACTTTGAAATCACCCACCTAATAAGTTGTGAAAATATCATTATATGATTGATCTCTTCACATTACAGGGGGGCAAAGGATGTAGGAAAGCCAAAAAGGAGAAAGCTATATAAAGACACAGGACAAGGAGAAACTAAAATGTTTCTATTTCTGTTATCCCCCAAATATTACTAGTTGCATAAAGATTATAAAAAGGAATAATAGAGTGGATTGGAAATGGGTTGAAAGTCATAAACTAAATACCATGTTTCTGCTGTTAGTAACCATGTCATAGCATAATCCAGGAATTTTCATTCTTTCTCTCTCTGCCTTCCTCATGTTCTAGCACTATTTTTTCATTCTTGTGTCAGACATTGAGGTAGTCTAATTTTATTACTTGGTGTATGCAAAGAAGTACAAGGCAAATCACAGCAAGAAAGAATGCAATCAAATTAAAATTTTTGAGGCGCTGAGAAAATATTGCTTCATCCCCCACCCTAACATGGGCAAGTATGAACATGTCAGAAAGACAAACATCTCTTTTCTCTGCTTTAACAGCTTGGTGCAATCAGGATGTTCCTATATCAGCTAAGATCTTACGTGAAAAAAGAACTGCTTCTTTAATATTTTCTCCAAATGTATCTCTGTTTATATTATTCCCTAATGAAAATTTTCCACAGAGTGTGTTCTGCATCAAAAGCACTTTTTTTGGTTAAAAAACAAACAAACCTGTTTTTCCATTCTTATTAATCTTCCTTTTATGCTTAGTGCTCTTTTGTTCTGTTTTTTTCTTCTACCTTTTCTCTCTTCCTCTCTCACATTAGCTTTTCTTCTCTATTTCCTGAGTCATTGCTTAATTTAGAAGCAAAGAATTTTATTTACAATATTTCTTCTATAGTCACTGGAAGAATGAATGGGCTTTTCTTAGTAGCTAACTTTCACTAAGTTCTCATTACTCAGTTATAGGGAAGGAGCAAAATTTTGAACAACTAACATACTAAATTACAGTGTAAAAGAATCAACTTTCATGTGCGAAAGTAGACTTTTAGGCGTTAACTCAGGTTTATATATCTATCCTTACATATGAGTATGTGTGTGTATATATATATATATACACACACACACACACAATTGCTTTTATTATTATAAGAGGTACTGTAATAAAGTAGTATAAGTTTAAGAAAAGGTGTATTCACATGAATATTGTTCTTAAAGCAGCATTTCATGAAGTTATACCATTATTCCAAATATGTTGTCATTGTTCAAAACATTTCCAGAAAACATTTTGCACTTGTGAATCTTATCTCTTGGGTATGGACTGTATATGTTCTCCCAAAATTAATATGTTGAAGTCCTAACCCCTAATATGATGATATTTGGAAATGGGTCTTTGGGAGGAAATTAGGGTTAGATGAGGTTGTGAGAGTGGGGCCCTGGTCTAATGGGATTAGTGTCCTTACAAGAAGAGATACCAGGAAACTCTCTGCCCATGTTCCCAGAAAGAAGAGGGCATGTGGGCACACAGTGGGATGGCAACTCCCTACAAGCCAAGATAAAGGGCCTCAAAATTAAACCTACTTTATTGGCACCTTGATTGTGGATATTCCAGCCTCTGGGATTGTGAGAAATGAATTTCTTTTGTTTAAGCCACCCATTCTGTACTATTTTTATCTTGCAGCTCCAACAGAAAAGATTCCTCTACTAGGGGAATTGTTTAGGTTTTACAATCAAAAGTAATTTTGAAGTCATGGGGTGATTGAACTGAATTGAAAAGTGAAATGGTTATAAGTACTGAGATTTATTTTCTTGTATAACTCAGCAAGTGTCTCTGAAACAAATCTCAAAAGAGGAGCTTCCAAACTCTGTTGCACAATTGTTGAAATTACTATAGTCTACCATAATACATTTAAGAAAGAAATCCATTGGGTTTATATATTCATTTAAAGAAAAGGCTTCCATATAGCTACACCTACTAGAATATTAATGATAATTTAATTATATAAATGAAAGAACAAGTCAACGTATTTTACTTTTTGTATACTTACTGTTTTATACATAGGTAATGTATTTTGTTCATTCTTTCCACTATTGTATACTGACCTGAAGTCAAGCATATACAAAGAGCAATGGAAATGAGTCCAAGAACAATGCTTTCTTTAAAGGAATTCATACCATGAATATATAATCTTATAGTATGAGGAAATCCAAAGGTTAAATGAAAATACACATTTCCCAGAAGAAAAAGATGATTTAATGAAATGTTACCGTGCAAATATAGTGTTTTTCAAAGAAATGAATGGAAATCTTGTAAAATATTTGTCTAATGGACTGACAATGTATTACTGAAAAACTAACTAGATATCAAATCCAGCAATTTATAATTTTAACTACCATATCCATCCGTGTGATGAATAGTCCAAATTAGTTATCAAATCCTATCTAAATTAACTTCTTCAAAAATGGTAAATCTTGAACTTCTGAAGTCCATGAGTTTCTTAAATTGTCATTTTCTCTATAATAATCAAAATGAAAATCTCAGAATTATTAGACTATGAAATAAAATTTTAATTGCAATAAATTATATTTCACAAGCTTTGCTATGAAAACTCTCCAGGGAATGAATAAGATCTTCAGTTAGTTAGGATGACTTAGTATTTTCAGTAAAGTGACCAATCTTTTTGTAGATGTTGTCATTTTTATAGTAGGTAACTCTCATGAACAGGCAACCGACTGTCTGAGGGTCCACCTAGAAGGATCTGTGATATAAATTTAAGATATTTAATTATACAGTGTTATTCAGGTTAAATTTAATATCAAATACAACTGAACACGAATATTGATGAGTGATTACTGGTGAGGAAATGATATATCTTTAAAAGTAACATTTGGAAATGTTGCTAATTTTAAACATGATGTTTTTGGATAATTAAACCCTTCCTTAACTCGGGAGTAACAAAATCTAAAAATCAGATTTTTTACTGCTTCCATAACATCTTAACATTTGTGTGCAGCACCTCCTAGAGAAGGTACTAAGTGAAAAGGGGGGAAAAATGGCAGGAGAAGGTGAGATTCATACGATTGACATTTGCTTTGCATTATTGCCATAGTTTCTCAGTTTGTATAAAGATAGTTGCGTATTACCCTTTCCTAAAATAGAGTATAATAGAATATAGATTCATAAATGTGTTATTTGTTGAGAGAATTTTGCCATTTAATTCTTAACATTTTCAATTGATAAAAACTCATTTTCTAATAGACCCCATTTTATTGTTGACCATATAAGCATTAGAATAATATGAAAGATAAATTTATTTATGCATTTCCAAGAATAAAAAAACATTTGTTTAATAGTAGCAAGAAAAAGCACATTTACTAATCTCTCTGGCTCATCTAGTCAAGCAGTTTAGGATCCTCATCTGCATGTTTTATGCATTCTTTCTCCTGATTACATTTTTAGTATTAGGCAAAGGAAGTTATTTTATCAAGTTCTGCACATGCTCTTTGATAGGTTCTTAAACTGTGTATAATTACAGTAGCTTTAAGATTTAACATGATTAAAACTTGGAAAAATGGTTGCCAACATGTTATCTTTGTAAGTTTATTACTCAGTCCTCCCTCTATGAAGCAGAATTCAGGGTCACATGAAACTATGACTGAAAATATTTGGATGACTTTATTAAAATAGCTGCATCTATATAACAAAGCTGGAATTATTATTTCCTTGACAGTGTTTTTCTCTGAAAATGATGTTACTTTTAAATCCACTCATCAGCAAGTACTGAGCCCCCAAATCTTCTAATTACTGGTTCCACTTCACCCTTGCTCAATTCATGAATTCTGACACAATAAAAGAAATGTGGCAAAAAAGGTCCTTGAAAACAAAACACTCAAATTCCAAACAGATTTTCAGAGTTTCAAGTTAGATTTGCCCAGTGACTCTATTACAAGTATTTTATAATTTCTCCTATTATAGCCTGTAATAGAAGAATGAGAACAAGTGAAGAGAAATATGAATAAATGGTTAGTTTCAGTGTAGCAATGTAATATCTTACATCGTAAATACAGTCTCATTAAATTTATATGCAGATTATATGAGGCATGACAGCAAGGCTGACTTTTGATAAAATCCCAATGAAGGCCACATGTAAAAGGAAGGGATTTTCAAACCCACTCCTCAGATCCAAACAACTAGAGCTCTAACTCCCACCCACTTTAAATAGATCAGCTCCATTTTTCAAACATCTATTTCATATAGTAAGATTGTGCAGAAGCTTTCATTTTAAAATCTCTGACCTAACAAAAGACAGGTTATTTACCTGATCTATTTTTAGTGACCTTAAGGAAATCATCCTCATCCTCATCACAGCTATCACCGTTTAACTGTTGCAGGATTGTTTCTGACTGGCTTCCTGCTTGGTTCACGTCTTTCTGTCGGAGTGCAACAAGCCGATGATGTATTGCTGCATACAGACGTCCTGTATCTTTGGCACTGGCCTGAATGAGGAAAATTAAGTTAAGAATATAAATAACTTAATAATAGTCACATTTTACAGATTTTTAATCTTTCACTATTAACAAGGAAGGAATTATATGGCATAAATCTAGAATGTAAGAAACCCTAAAAACTGAAGGGGTTAAAAAGTCAATTCCTCTTGAACCAAATTGAACCCTAAAATGACTTAATTTTGTAACAGGTACCAATTTGTGCATTTTAAACAGAAAGTAACATTTTTTTACTTTAATTTCTGCATGGATGTAAGTTTGTCCAGACTATCCTTCCTCCACTATTTACACTGTAGAAAATTGCAGTTAGGGGGGAAAAGATTTGCATTTCCTTTACATCACTATGCTCAGACATGCCCTGCAAGCCACATAGCTCCATGGAGATGCAGAGTTCATTGGAACAATCTATGATATTCTACCATAAATTACAATACTTTTCTATGCTATTTTTATGATTACTAATAATATAAAAAATAATGGTAACTATAACATTGGTAGAACACTAAGTTCTTTTTAAAATTCAATCATTACAATAAAACTGAACTAATTATTTATTCCATTTATATTAGCAAAAGCACATAGCACATGTACTCAATATTTACTTGTTTCCCTTTTCATTTTATAGATGAGGAGACTATGGCTCAGAAAGTTACAGCAACTGATCTGAACTTACACAACTAGTCAGCCATTTGGCAGGGACTTGAATCCCAGGCTTTTGTCATCAAAGTCAGCCCTTTTTGAAGTAATATGGCAGTAATTTACTTTTTTGTGCCTTTTCACAATTTCAAAGAAAAATCAGGGAAATTTTTTTTTGTTTGCTTACCCTCCAAAGAGTTATTTAACTTCTTAAAGCCAAGAGCTGAGGGTTAAACCAACTACATGCCAACTTTTTAGAGAGAAGGGTCTTATATTTTTTCATCTGCATGTTCTTAAGTTGCCTTAAATACTTTTGGGAAAAATATAACTATAAATTAAATAAATGTTTTTGTTTCTCATATAGTGTTAGGTATTATATAGTAAGTGTTGAATGAATATTTGTTGATTCTTCAGTAATTTAAATTTTTATACTATGTGCAAAGGTGTAATTTTTCTTTGGTAAGTTAATAACAAATATTGAAAGAATATTTGCAATTGAAACAAATGCTATCCTGCTACCTTGACTTCCTTACATTAAATTTTAAATATGCCTTTCACTAGTCAGTGTATTTCCTTTTGCCAAATTAATTCAGACATTTTCATTCAAGAAATTCAGAAGTTAAAAATAAAATCACAATGATACATTTTTTGAATAAGAAATTCATAGTAATTAAAAAATGATAATTCCCAGGAAGTATCATAAGAAAATGCTGGTGAAAATAGAAATTGGTTCAGTCTTTCTGGAGAGAAATTGTCAAGTCAACCTTTTCCCAAGAAAACATATATGTATGTACACAGAATTTCATGCATTTCCTTTCAGGATTTATAATAATGAAACATAGTAAGTCACTAAGTATTTAACAAAGTGGAATTCATAGAATAAACTATGGTGCATAATAAAAAAAGAATTCTTTTCACCTCTTCAAAGAATTTTTGAAGAATGAACAGTAATGACACAAAGACACTGATTTCCAGTAAGTGAAACAAAGTTTATATGTGTATTTCACAATAAAATATTGTTATATAATTTTCTCAACCACTTTATGAAGTATATTATTATCATATTCAATTGGCATATGAGTAAAATTTGGTTAACTAAATAACTTGCCTGAAGGTAGTATGGTATGTATAGTATGGTACATGTATATAATATACACAGACAGATATACTGAATATACTATAAGACTGAAATCTTAATAATGACCATCTCTGGAAGTGGAATTTGGGGTGATTTTTTACCTTCATTTCGTTTGCTTACCTCTAAAACAGCTTACAATTTAAAAAGTCAGTGTGGGTCAGATATTGAGCAGCAGAATCTAATCATAGTTAACAGTCTCACTCTCACTCTGAGGCAGGCTGCTTTACCCACTCAAGCCACTCTGGCATGGCAGAGTATCAAGTGTTATCCCCTTAAATGGTAACAGGGTTTGGGCATCATCTGACTCTAACACTTTACTACTCAACATCACTGAACTTCTGACAATGCACTTCCTGGTAGTTTATAAAACCTTTCATTTACCATTAAAGAGCACTTGCCAACTTGTTTTCCATTACTATATGGGAGCAAATTTACTTTACTCTCAGCTTCTTCCTGAGTCACCCTCAGTGGTCTCCAGTCTTCTGTGTCTTAGTCCATGTGGGACACCCAGCCTTTTTTCTGGCCTGACTCCTGCTCTCTTGCGCCTGTGTCTCATAGTTGATGTCAAACATTCGGGCTGATGGAAGCAGCTAAGTTGTGCTGCCGTCCTGTTACCTTGGAGACTGACTCACATCCAGAATTAGAATTTGCTGTTGGACTGGTTGTTTTAACTTGCTAGCCCTGTGTTTTTCCATTTCCCACTGGTTCCTTCTCAGTTTCAGCATTCAGTGTAAGCATCAGGCTGTGAATTCTGCAGGCCTCTAAGGAGCCACACTTGACAATAGTCCTTTTGGTAATTTAGTAAGATAATTGACATAATTTCAAATTTCACATAAAATTTAGTTATTGTACTAGACTGTAAACAACCAAAATGAGTGGCTGACTTTTGCCAAAGGTACAGGTTATAATAAACTGAAAAAATAAATTAAGAATTGCAGAGATCTATAAGTACAGTATGGTAATCCTCTATCACTGAAATTTGTCACTTACCTGAATTAAAAAAATTTTGACACTACAGTCTTCTAAATCAGTAGCTGTTATTCGTAAATTTTTGTGGTTCGCTCTTTGAATTTTCATTTGAGCCCAGAGTTTGCTATTGAGAATCAGCCTCAGGCTGCCTTGATTGCGCATAACTACAAGAGGAAGGTGAATATATCAGACTGCAGAACAGTTGATTCCTTAACTATCCAGGGGAATTTGGCAATTTTGAAACAAAAATAAATCTTGTAGTTGTTTGTCAGACTGCATTTATAATTTGACTAAGTTATAACTTCTTTTTCAAATTGGGCTTTATTATGTTGGAGGACATTTTTTAGCTTAAATGCTGGAATTGTTTTACTGTAATATTAAAATACAATTAAAAATTTATAACTACTTTGAGGATCTAGTGATCTGAAGAATATTTACCCAAGAATTGTTTACAATGGAGAAAACTGAAACAAAGACTTTAAACAGTCAAAAATGCAATTACTTACATTCAGTACAATTCCTATCAAAATATCAGCAGCATTCTTTAACGAACTAGAGCAAATAGTTCTAAAATTCATATGGAACCACAAAAGACCCCAACTAGCAAAAGCAATCCTGAGAAGGAAGAATAAAGTGGCGGAGATTACACTCCCCAACTTCAAGCTCTACTACAAAGCCACAGTAATCAAGACAATTTGGTACTGGCACAAGAACAGACCCATAGATCAATAGAACAGACTAGAAAGCCCTTATATAAACCCAAGCATATATGGTCAATTAATATATGATAAAGGAGCCATGGATATACAATGGAAAATGGCAGCCTCTTCAACAACTAGTGTTGGCAAAACTGGACAGCTACATGCAAGACAATGAAACTGGATTATTGTTTAACCCCATATACAAAAGTAAACAAAATGTACCAAAGACCTGAATATAACTCATGAAACCATAAAACTCTTAGAAGAAAACATAGGCAAAAATCTCCTTAATATAAACATGAGCAAATTTTTCTTGAATGTATCTCCTCATGCAAGGGAAACAAAATACAAAATGAACAAATGGGACTACATCAAGCTAAAAAGCTTCTGTACAGCATAGAACACCATCAGCAGAACAAAAAGGCATCCTACAGTATGGGAGAATATATTCATAAATGACATATCTGATAAGGGGTTAACATCCAAAACATATAAAGAACTCACATGTCTCAACACCCAAAAAACAAATAACACTATTAAAAAATTGGCAGGAGATACGAACAGACACTTCTCCAAAGAAGAATTTCAGATGGCCAATAGGCACATGAAAAGATGCTCCACATCACTAATCATCAGGGAAATGCAAATTAAAACCACAATGAGATATCACCTCACACCAGTCAGGATGGCCAACATAAAAAAGACTAGGAACAACAAATGCTGGTGAGGATGCAGAGAAAGGGGAACCCTCCCACACTGCTGGTGGGAATGTAAGCTAGTTTAACCATTGTGGAAAGCAATATGGAGGTTCCTCAAAAAACTTAAAATAGAACTACCATTTGACCCATGAATTCCACTCCTAGGAATTTACCCTAAGAAAATAGGAACAGAGATTCAAAAAGACATATGCACTCATATGTTTATATTGGCTATAATTACAATAGCCAAGATATGGAAGCACCTTTAGTGTCCATCAGTAGATGAATGGATAAAGAAGAGGTGGTACATATATACAATGGAATACTACTCAGCCATAAGAAAGAAACAAATCCTACCATTTGCAACAACATGAATGGAGCTAGAGGGTATTATGCTCAGTGAAATAAATCAGGCAGAGAAAGACAAATACCAAATGATTTCCCTCATTTGTGGAGTATAACAATGAAGCAAAAGTGAAGGAACAAAATAGCAGCAGACTCACAGACTCTAAGAAAAGACTAGTGGTTACCAAAGTGCAGAGGTGTGGGAGGGTGGGCGGGGAGGGAGGGAGAAGGGGATTATGGGGTATCATGATTGGTTCACATGGTGTGGGGGGGTCACAGGGAAGACAGTGTAGCTCAGAGAAGGCAAACAGGGACCCTGTGGCATTTTACTACACTGATGGACAGTGACTGCAATGGGGTATGTGGGGGCGACTCGATAATAAAGGCAAATGTAATAACCACATTGTTTTTCTTGTGAAACCTTCATAAAGAGTGTATATCAATAATACTGTAATAAAAAAACACAATTACTTAAATAAATGATGATATTGCTATTCAAAATAATTTAATCAGCCCATTAAAAATACTGAAGAAAGATAATTATTGATGTGTAAAGGTGATCATGGTATACTATCTAAAAGAAAAAATCAGGTTGCAAAGCAATATAAACACCATGAGTCACAAATTTGGCAAGTGCAAAGAGTGGAATTAAACCAGAGTAGAGAACAACTAACATCTGCCTTGGAAATAATATTTGGTTGGGTTATTTAGAAACCTGTTTGTCAGTTACAGAAGTGAAAACACTGTTCCTATTCTCTTAGTCTGAACTCTATTCCTTACTGGTCTCATGAGCTTGATATCTGAAACTCAACAAATATCTACATCCCTGAAACCAGTTTCTATCTGTGGTCTCCTCTGTAGCTTGCCCCGAGTGTTGGCCAGTAAACTCACCCACCCTGCCCAGATCTCTGCCTGTGCTCACTTGAAGTTTAGGCCTCTGAACAACCCAGTGTGTCTTTTAGGTATCAAAAACTCCCTTAGTCTTTCAACTTGACTGACTCCAGATTCTGACTATCAATCTGCCTAATGGATTCAATAACCACACACATGTATTTCTTCAGAAACTCGCCATTCATCCCAACCCACACACAATGTTTATATGCTAAGGATAAGTTAAAGGGCAAATAATATTTTTAAGAAAAATTATTTTCACTCCAAGAATAATTTCATCATAGCCCTTTAAATAATAATGAGATTACTCTTTAGGGGTGTGTTCAGCTTTTACATGCTTTATCTCACCGAATTCTCACAGTTGCTCAATAAATCATGGACTACTATTATTCCCATTTTAAACTGAAGCAACTACGGCAGAGAGAGATTAAGTAACTGTTCAAGGTCACCAGGCAGGCAGTGACAGAGCCAGAACTGGAACCTTGTAGTCTGATATCAGAGTTTACTGTAAATGGGAAGCTCCTGTAGTACATTAGAAACAATATTGCTTTCAACAGTCTGAGTTATTGACATTTCTTATAACACATCCCCAGAAAAAGATGTGTACCCACCTATATTAGAAATTCACTCTAAGAAATAATGACTTACTTTACAAAATGATTACTTACTTAGCCTTGACTGGAATGTTCCATAGTCACTGCTTGCTGTGTCATTCAGTCTCAAAGTTCCTCTGCCTCTTTCAATCCAGGACTGTGATGTTTTGTTGAATATAAAAAGCTTGCAGTTGATCTAAAGGACAGTTTTCAAAATGTCAAACATATAGAATCCTTTTCAAAGTGGTTTATTTCCTATGCTATAACACTTTTATTTGATCTTTTACCAGAATAACCTTTGTTAATTATTTCTAAGCCAGCTTGAAAAGTTTATTTAAATCTTAAAGTATACAATTTTTGAATAGTTCCAACATCAAAAAGCAAAAAGATGTACAAAATGAAAAGTCCCTCTCCAATGATAGTTCCCCACCTGCCAATTTCCACCCCCTGCAACAGGTAATGACTGTTGTTAATATTTTGTTTTTCCTTCTAGACGTATTTGTACATATATATATCCTTCCATAGATATTATATGGAACACATGTATATGTTCCCTTTTTTCTATAAATGGTAGAATACTATACATACTTTCCATGACTTGCTTTGCACTTAACAATTTATCTGTGTATACCAACTTTTAGATTAATAATGTTATTTGAGTCACATAATTTTTTAAAAGTAAAGGAATCATGAAACTATTTGTATACTTAAAAATTTTCAAAGAATTCAGTATCAGAACTAGGATGTGATACCACAGAGTACCCTATTCCAATTCAATGCATACTAGCAATTCTCAAATATTACTGTGTATAAGAATCACCTAGTGACTTGTTAAAAATACAGCATTCCAGGACCTCATCCCCAGCAATTACTTTGATAAATCTGGCATTAATCTGATCTGAGAGTTATGCCTTGAGACACACTTGTATAATAAATATATCAGTAATTATGTGAGAAGAGAAGAGAAATGGAGAGAGCCTGAGGTAAAAAAACTATGGAAATATGTGCCTTTTTGGAAAATGATTAAGTTATTGTAATTACATTTCATATGCTTAGGCTGATGGCTGTTCCACTCAACATTCAAATCCTATGTATGATATTATATGCTACATCTCTGAAATTCTTGATTTATAGGAAACTCAAAACTTATTTAAAATAACTTTTAAAATGAAAACAATTTTTTATCATCTTGAGCTGAAACCAATTCATCTTATTAACATTTTAAAACTTTCAGTGTAAGTAGAATTTTTAAATCAGATAATGCACTGATTTTAAAAGCAGGTATGAAAAGTATACAATGTAGGTCTGAAGTTATTTTAAGACAGGGTGCCTTCTGTCTTCTTCCAAAGATCTAATCTGAATGGCTGTAAGCCCCGTGACCCATTTTCTGGTAAATTCTTAAATAGAAATGTGAGAATACAGCAAATTGTTGGTTTAATCTTTGGAAGTCTTTAACATTTTTATTCAAGCAGCTCAGTCTTTATGAAAACTGTATTTCTGGTTATTTTTAAAGATGTTCCTGCTCATCAATAATCACCCTAAATGTAAATGGACTGAATGCACCAATCAAAAGACACAGAGTAATAGAATGGATAAAAAAGCAAGACCCATCTATATGCTGCTTACAAGAGACTCACCTCAAACCCAAAGACATACACAGACTAAAAGTCAAGGGATGGAAAAAGATATTTCATGCAAACAATAGGGAGAAAAAAGCACGTGTTGCAGTACTAGTATCAGACAAAATAGACTTCAAAACAAAGAAAGTAAGAAGAGATAAAGAAGGACATTACATAATTATAAAGGGGTCAACCCAACAAGAGGATATAACCATTATAAATATATATGCACCCAATACAGGAGCACCAACTTATATGAAAGAAATACGAACAGAATTAAAGGAGGAAACAGAATGCAATGCATTCATTTTAGGAGACTTCAACACACCACTCACTCCAAAGGACAGATCCACCAGACAGAAAATAAGTAAGGACACAGAGGCACTGAACAACACACTAGAACAGATGAACCTAATAGACATCTACAGAACTCTACACCCAAAAGCAGCAGGATACACATTCTTCTCAAGCACACATGGAACATTTTCCAGAATAGACCACATTACTAGGCCACAAAAAGAGCCTCAGTAAATTCAGAAAGATTGAAATTCTACCAACCAACTTCTCAGACCACAAAGGTATAAAACTAGAAATAAATTGTACAAAGAAAACATAAAGGCTCTCAAACACATGGAGGCTCAACAACACGCTCCTAGATAATCAATGGATCAATGACCAAATTAAAATAGAGATCAAGCAATATATGGAGACAAATGACATCAACAGCACAAAGCTCTAACTTCTGTGGGATGCAGCAAAGGCAGTTCTAAGAGGAAAGTATATAGCAATTCAGGCCTATTTAAAGAAGGAAGAACAATCCCAAATGAATTGTCTAAAGTCATAATTATTGAAATTGGAAAAAGAAGCACAAATGAGGCCCAAAGTCAGCAGAAGGATGGACATAATAAAGATCAGAGAAGAAATAAATAAAATTGAGAAGAATAAAACAATAGAAAAAATCAATGAAACCAAGAGCTGGTTCTTTGAGAAAATAAACAAAGTAGATAAGCCCCTATCCAGACTTGTTAAGAGAAAAAGAGAATATACACACATCAACAGAATCAGAAACGAGAAAGGAAAAATCATGATGGACCTCACAGAAATACAAAGAACCATTACAGAATACTGTGAGAATCTATATGCTAACCAGCTGGAAAACCTAGAAGAAATGGACAACTTCCTAGAAAAATACAACCTTCCAAGATGTTCCTGCTGATGGTAAACTTCATTCCATGTATTTAAGTGCTGCCAGCAAGAGCAATACATAACATACAGACCTTCAACACATTATGCTCTGCTTCCTCGCCTGTTATAACATCAATTTTCTCCAGCAAGCATTTTGGTGATGGTTTAGAAGAGAAAGCAGCAGCTGATTCGATTAGAGATATATTTTTAATAGAATGTGTTCCTAAGAGACAATAGGGGAGAAAAACACATAAAAGACCCCATTTTCTCTACTGTAAAAGTCCTTTGCCATCCTGGTTAACATACATGTCTTGTTAGCTTTTTATGACAATGAGGGTTTCCAAAAAGTCAAACTGTTTGAGTTTGGGTAAATCTCTTTAATTATTCCTCCTATCATTAAGTCAAAAATTTCAAAAAGCTTATATATCATGTAACCACATTTGTGTGCTTTAATCTTTACCAAAATAATTTTAAACTGAATTATTTTGTACTTTATAGATATGAAATATATGACATAGAAAAAACAGGAAATAAACAAGTTGAATAAAAATTTTTATAAATGAAATAATTCTTACTTGCGTTTGGAGAGTTGATAGGGAGATTTAGAGTGGATTTGAATGCTTTTTCCTTAGTGCATGAATCATTTTCAAGTTGAGGGTGACTGAAATTTTGAGTACCCTAGGTGGGGGAAAAAGATGTATTACTTAATTTTATCCCCATATATTTGCAGTGAGCCAAAAGTCACCTTTGTTCTGTTTCAACACAGCAAACAAACTCAACTGCTATGTTTTTGTTTTGGGCATCCTATGTGCCAAACAGGGAACTTCTTCCTGTCATTAGAGACCCTTGATTCTGATCCTCAGAAAGCATAATCTAGTTACCACTAGGCCACAGCTACTTTCAGGGACAGTGGGAGAAGTTTTGGAGGCCCCAAAGCAGGTAGCAGCTGTTGCATGCTTCCACCAGACTATCCTGATGCCTAGAAGGAGGTGCACCTATATCTTCTGTGTTTCAAGGTATTTCAGCATTCCCAGCAATTCACTCTTTCTACCCATTTCATTAAAAAAAATTAAAAACTTATCCAGAGAACCCATGAGCTGTCTTAAATATTTTCTTTATAGAAAAAAATCTTAATTTTTTCCTCTAAGACATTCTTTGATAGCAATCGTTTTTAAGGCTGCATAGCTGGGGCTTTGTCCATGTTTTGATAAAGGCCGGTGTGAAAAAAAACTATGTAATTGCCACACCCTTTATGATACTGGCTAGCCCCCTGCAGAACAGGGAGAATTAGAATGATGTTTCAGAACTTAGGTTTATATCTTTTCCCTTAGGGACTCAAGATGCTTTCACATTATTTAACTGGCCATCAAGATATTCTGTTAAAATTGGTAGAGGTGGTTGTAATATTTCCATTTTAAGAAAAATAGAAACTAAGGCACCAAAAGTTTAATGACCACTCTACAAGCATGTTGTCAGCAAACAAGTCAGGAAGGCATCCTGGCTCCCCAGATTACAAGGCCACAGGATTACAGGGTTAACTAGAGGACAAACAAGTTATCTCTATAGCTCCTACTATCCTAGTATCTTATCAACTCAAAAAGACAGAAACTCAGGTTCTTTGTCAGCCAAATTTCAAGGCCCATAGGAAGTGTGCAAGTACCTCCTCAAACCAGATCTATAATCCCAACTGTCCTTCATTTGTAGAGTAACTGTTTCTGTCTGCCCTTACCAGATGATAAGCACCTCTAGGGCACAGTGTCCCCCTAGCTTTGCATAACCACTTACCCAGGTGGTTTTCAATGCTGGTTGTACATTCAAATCCCTTGACACCTGGCCTCACCACAGAGATTCTGATCTAATTGGTTTGGGGAGATCCCCTGGCATTGGAAATCCTTTAAAGGCTCAGCAGATGGCTGTGATAGGCAGCCAAACTTGAGACCAATGCCAACACTTTATATATCATAAGAACATAAAACATGTCAGTTAAATTGAGTCGAACGTTAAAACTGATCTTACAAGGTTTGAAAGTATTTTATTTGTATCTGTAACATCTTACAGATGCCATGACTAATCTAGTGTCAAATTTAGTAATACATAATATAGAATAAAAGTGCCTAAATATACTGCCTGGTATGGCATTCTGGAATTTGGTCCATTCTGGTTCAGATCCAAAGGCGTGGGTCAACATCTCCAGAATTGCTGGAGTTGCTGTTCAACGTGAGAGTAACAGAAGGGTGCCTCTAAGCTAAAAAGCTATGGTACTACTCTTGGATTTGGGGTTCAGCCTGAGACAGGTGCAGAATAAATGAAGTCTTAGAAATGACTGATTTTCCAAAGCCCTAAAAATCTTAGAATTAAACAGGCCTCATGATTTGCTCCTTTTGTTATTTTGAGTCCATATACAAGTTTTAAAATCTGTACAGCCTCTTTGGGATTCTTTATGAAGCTAATAGCTCTAAGACAATCTAGCCACCCTGGCGTATCTCAGCCAAGATTTTGGTCTGGGTGAAAGTTGGAAGGATATGGAGATGTGATGGGCCAAATGAACCATAGGCACATTTATTCCACAACTTTCACTTTGCTGTGTAATTTCCACTATAGATGACGCTCTGTTTCAGAAACATGCCTTATAGAGAGCAGAACAGCAAATGCCTCCTGTAGGAAGACACTCAATGCTAAATAAAGATAGTAATAATAGGGGTTTCCAATTGGCAAGGATATTCTCTTAGGCAAGTAGGATACTCTGATTTTCCTCTTAAAGATGGAAAAAAAATACATACATAATGCTTTTCAATATAAAAGCTTGAAGTGGAGGGTTGTGGTTAATGAGAAAAAAATTGGTCAATGATTTTAAATATATCTACTTATGAAACATGTTATTGAAAAAATATATTAAAATATCATTACCAGTTGAGTTTATCTACCTATTGCAGATAATTCTGGGATTTCCTTGGCCATCTTTGGTTTAGCACAAGTCAAAGAACTATTTATTTTTCTCATCAGTAATATTGCCATAATTATACAATTTATTTCCTTTATGGATTCCTATCTGTTATTCTAACAACTTGTTTCCTAGGAAAATCTTTCCAGCTAAAGAAAGAAAGCATACTTTAAGACCAGGCGTTAAAAAGTGTGCTCCAATTTAACATTGTTTAAATTAATTTGCCTTCAAAAATTTGAAGTGACATGTCTTTATGGAATTACAGAAACACTTGCCAAAATCTTACCAAAACTCTTTCTACCATGTTTTCTCCAAAAACGAAATCAGAACTACAGCTTTTAGAAGAATACTGATCTTCATCTGGTTGGCATCTAAGGAAAAGGAATAAGTATTAGCAATTTTAAACATATGGATGAAACTAGTTTAAACTTTAGCACATCACATAATCAGATGATTTAATAGATTTATGCAAAATATAAAAACATCTACTGCTAAATTTTATCTGAAGTAAATGAGAAATGAAGGGAATATTGAGATAGGTACTTCCAGGATGATATTCAACATATCTGACAGCTATCAGAACCCCGGCCCTGGCCAGTGCAAACAGGTCTCGTGCATCACTGTGCTGGCTGTGTGATCAGCTGGGGGTGTGTGTGCTGCCCAGGTCTTATTTTTCTGCTTTTCCAGTAAAGCCTCTCCAATCTCTAATCTCCACTCTCCTCACAAGCAGCTGGTGCTTTTAGCCATCAGAGGTCTCTAGAGCAAAAGCAAAGCCATCTATCTTGTTGATATACTTCAGCATGCAAGGCTTTAATTTGGTTTGTTTTGTTTTCTTCCCAGAAACTTTTCTTTTTCTAACGTTAAAAGTGTTTTTCATGACAAGAAACTCAAAGACATGCAGTCCTTTATCTGTAGGTGGCTGTGCTCTGGGGTCCCTATCACATCCCCAGTGTGCACAGGAGGTAAGAGCTGCAGCACCTGCACAAGCCCTAACTATGTGAGTCCACGGCTAGTTTTAACCTTCTCTCAGGTCAAACATGCCTTCATCACTGGTGAGGCTGTAAATACTAACTTTCATTGTGCATATTGTGCATATTTATACTGCTTTGCTGTCTATCCAATATATCAATAGGTAATGAATAACTCCAAAAATTAGTGAAAATAGGGAAAAAAAGAATACCAGAGAAAAGGGAGAAGAGGGCTAATCTAGTAGCCAGGTAATTAATGCCTAACTAAATGAAAATTTACTATACCTATTTGAAACATTCTCACCAAAGTCAGTGAAATAATGGAGACAACCCAATATCAATGTGATAATATGTAAACATCAGAGACTTTATTTTATTGAAGTGTAGTTGATACACAATCTTATATTTGTTTCAAGTATGCAACACAGTGGTTCAGCAGTTATCCACATCATTAAATCTTCACCCCCACTAGTGTGGTTACTGTCTGTTAACATAGGAAGATGTTCCAGAATCATTGGCTACATTCTCCACACTGTACTACCATCCCTATGACCAACTTACATTATGATTGAGAATTTCTGTGCCCCTTTATCCACCTCACCCTCTCTACGCACCCACCCTAACCCCTCTCCCATGGTAACCACAGTCTCTTCTCAGTGTCTGTGGGTCTACTGCTTGTTTTGTTCATTTTGTTTTGCTTTGTGTTTATATTCACTTACTTAATAAGTGAAACCATATGGTGTTTATCTTTCTCCCCCTGGCTTATTTCACTGAGTCTGATACCCTCTAGGTCCATCCGTGTTGGTTAGAGACATTTTGAAAGCAGTTTAAACTTGTGTTCCTTATAAAATCTTTCTTGGCAATGTATCTGTACAATGTTAGAAAATTGTTTTCCATAAATAGCTGTAGTGATAAAAGCAAGCAAGAACAAAAGGACATCACTTCTGATTCCTCATCACTAACTTACCCTACTGATGTAGTACCTAAAATATTCTGGTTAGTAGACAGCTGGACTGAAACTCTGGCACTTCGTAAATTTTCTGTTAGCAAATAGGAGTTACCTTCCAATATCTGAAAGAAAAAAAATCCATCCAAAAGTTCATTTCAATTGCCTTCCTTCCTATACAATCATCAGACAAGGAAACAATAGTTACAGTTAAAGGTGTTGAAAATTTACTATGTTCAAGCACTGCTCTAAGCATTTTATATATACTACTTCATTTACTCCTTGCAACAACTTTATACATTTTATACTTCTATTAGCCACATTTCATGGATTAGTAAAACTGGCTTATCAAGCAACTTGGCCAGGCTAGGGCAACCAGGAGTAAAGCTGACATTTAAGCCTGGGTCTGTCTGACACCAGAGATTGTACATTTAGTCATGGTATTCTGAAACTCCACCTCCTTTTGTTACTTTTACCTGTTTAGTCAAATGGAGTTAATTCTCATTTCTAGATTAGTAAATCTATCTTTCAGGACCATTTAATCCCGGGAAACACCCTAGGAGCTTCACTGTCATGGTCATAATGTATGCCATCCCTTCACCTAGGAATATTTGATAAGTAACTTAATTCATTACTCTGTCTGATATGTACATATGTATGTAGATTACCTGCTTTGATGTATAAATGAAAAAGTGGCCAACTTTAGAACTGGAAGGAACCCTACAAATTATCTGATCTAGTTTTCAATGTTTCGTGGACACCTTCCTTCCCCCACCAGGGATTTGCAAAAGTGATGTAGAAAGTTCATGTTTAAAGGTAGATGAAGTCTGTTTCCACTTTAATTTTACATCAGTCAGTAAAAATGATTTTGAATTTTTCCTTTTATGAATGAATTTGAGAGCTGAGAAATACGTGTAAAGAGAATATATGCCATTGGTTAGCAAAGATCAAAGAACATGCTCATGACTCAGTCACTAAGATGATTTATCTCTCAACCAAATGGTAGCTTTTACTCTTTTGTTGCTTACAATAGTGTTAATCACGTATAGGTTGTTTACATTATATACAGTAAGTGGCCAATGATTAATAACAGGGTGAATAAAAATTGCTCTGATTTTTATTTACAAGTTAATAAGAAACATAAAAATAATGGGTTCTATAAAATTTACCCAGAAGTAACTTTCACTATAAATAAGTTATAGTGTTAAAAGAAACCAAGAGGAAAGGACAACACTTCTGTTTCCTCATCATTAACTTACCCTGCTCATGTAGCACCTAAAAATTTTTTATATAGCAGAATTCTTACATAGCATCTTACATATAGCTTATCTTCAGATCCTCAAAGGTTATCATTTAACAGAGAAAATTCCATGATGGGCATATCCAATCAGGCTTTTCACTAATTAAGAGTAAGTTCTATTCATATTCTTAATAATTTATTCAGGATGAAATGCTTACTAATAATAGCCTGAAGATTTACCTTATGCTTTATCACTTAGGAAGAAAATATTAATAAATTTTATTTTTAAAAGACACAATGCAAGACTTCTAACAATCATGCCAAAGAAGAAATACTCATCTATTTTTGTTATCATACTATGTAATACAAATTTCTATCTATAACTTTTAATACATGCTGTACCAAGATCTGATGACATTTTAGAAATTAGTCAATACATCATACTTTTTCTTACATACTTTAAAACAAATTAAGCAAAAGGCATCACTTCTTAAATGGATTAAAGTAAGAATTTATGTAATATGGTGAAGTTTATTATATTGTATTTAAATGAAAACTTTTAATAATATACTAGTTTGAAATTTAAAACACATTTTACTTAAAAAATCACATCATACACCGCATACATGAAGAAATCATTTTTAAAATTGACATTGAGTCTCATGAAATATCTTACAAAGAAAAAGATTTGTAAATATAAAAATGTTGGAAGATGCTGACCAGATTCAGCTCTTTCCCTTCACTGATAAAGAGAGAAGGTTGGGTGCTTGTCCAAGAATGCAAATACAGATAATGGCTGAGGAAGGACTAGTACCAATTTGATTTTTTTCCTATGCTTTTCAGGTGTCTGCTTCTGGAAGATAACTGCTTGAACTATAGCAACAGAATACCCCCAAACCCATATCCGCCTGGTGTGACAGTATCTTCTTAGACCCGCAATGAGTGATTCAGCCACTACAACAGTTGGAGAAGAGAATTCTTGTCTGTCTCCAGAAGCTTCCCAAGCCCTCCCAATTACTCTGTATAGGTAGTTCCCTGTCCCTGTTATCCATGAAGATGGATCTGGAGTGGATCCCTGGTATAACCTAATCTAGCAAAGCCACGTACAGTGTCAACCAGTTCGGGATGCAGAAAATCCCTGTGTCCTTTTTTTGACTTATGACTCCTGGCCTCTGCTGCCTCATTGCTGCCCCTGTTTTCACATGGAATCAGTGTACTGGGTGAGACCCCAAGTGTCCCCACGCCACAGGACCTAGCTTTACAGCTTGTTCCTGGGGACAACTCTCCAATTTAAATGGACAAGTTTAACAAGATTATTGAGACCTTTTTGTTATCTAGTCTGGGTGTTTCTCCAGCCTGACAGTTGCTTAGCAATGGAACAAAGCTGAGGCAGCCCCTAATTCTGGATGTGGGGCTCCAACAGTGTGCTTAAAGAAGGAGAGGGGGTTGAGGTCTGAAAAACATTGGAGATTTTATTACCTTATTTTTTGTGTTTTCTTTAGTCTTGCAGGATTCTAATGCACTGTGTTCAAATGTGTTTCTTATGTTTTCACACCTTTGAGCTTGAGGTGGCTGCAAAATAGCAGGTCTTAGAACATGTTCAGGATGTTTCACAGGGCCTTAGAAGACCAGAATTAAAGGATTAATATATCATAAAATACTTCTTCCTCCATACTTTTGACTAATTTAATGCTTATTCTCTAAAACTATCATTAAATGAGTTAATTAGTTAAACTCAAAATAGCCAGTGAATTGCCTACTACTTAATTCCAGCCAGCTTTTATCTTATAATTATTTATTTTAACCATGGAATTTGGCTTACCAAATATATCCCTTCATGTTTTGTCACTCAAATATCCACAATACACATGAAGATTTTTTAAAAAATAGCAAAATATAAAATTTCTGAGGTTCTCCTAATAGAGAAACTACATACCTGGTTCTGCACTGTTCATACCAACATTTCTTGGCACCAAATTTGATGTCATAAAAACATTGTTTTTCTTCACTGTAAGGGAAAATATTTAGAAAAATTTAAATCTGAGTGAGTGTGTCAGTTTCTAAGCTGTTTGGATTTTAACAGTCCTGTGCTGAACTCAGCAGTAGATGTCGCTGTTGACACAGAGTAGTAGGCTGTGCACTCCAGAGCGCTGGTTCTGCTAAAAATGCGTGATGGCAATGTAAGTTTTGCTACATACTTTTGTTTACTCTCAAAAATGTAAGTGAAAATTATGCCATTAATGCAATAGGCAGTATTCTTTAGAATCACAAAACAGAGTGCTGAGAGAAATTCTACAGATTATAAAAACTGTGTTAGTAATGAACCCTCTATATTCCTTACAGAACGTTACACAACTTTTAGCAAATTCTGCCCCTCTCCCCACTTTAATGATAAATGATGAGAGAAGTAAAGATAACCATTATGTTAGGTTATTTTTCTATGAAGTGTGGTGGGGTAAACTGCAGTGGTGGCTGCAAACATAGAATTATTATACATTTCTAAGAGATCACTCCTTGGCAGTAGTAGGCTGTGCACTCCAGAGCGCTGGTTCTGCTAAAAATGCGTGATGGCAATGTAAGTTTTGCTACATACTTTTGTTTACTCTCAAAAATGTAAGTGAAAATTATGCCATTAATGCAATAGGCAGTATTCTTTAGAATCACAAAACAGAGTGCTGAGAGAAATTCTACAGATTATAAAAACTGTTCATAATGAACCCTCTATATTCCTTACAGAACGTTACACAACTTTTAGCAAATTCTGCCCCTCTCCCCACTTTAATGATAAATGATGAGAGAAGTAAAGATAACCATTATGTTAGGTTATTTTTCTATGAAGTGTGGTGGGGTAAACTGCAGTGGTGGCTGCAAACATAGAATTATTATACATTTCTAAGAGATCACTCCTTGGCTGCAAATTGCAGAAAGAGCAACCTTTGAGAAAAGGACATGAATTGCTTCTTCAATGCATTATATTATAAATATTGGGGGTAGAATTGCTTCTTTAATTTAATCAGTTAAATGGTTTAATGATGTTTATTATTAAAAACCAACAATGAATGGGCCATATAAATTGTATTATTTTTCTGTTTCAACACCACCACCATTTTGCACAACATAAAATGGAATGGTCTTACTGATATCAGTGTTTCTTTACTCATTTCTTTTTGTGTGTGACTAAAAACAATAAACACAACAACAAATTGAAGCAGTTATCCAAATAACTTAAAGCCATCCTTTTGCTTTATGCATAAATACAATAAAACAAATCCTTTACAATCAGGACCCCTATTCCTCTGAGCGTTATTAGTCAGATTTAGATGGGACTTTTGAGGAAGAAAGCTTCTCTTCTGTATCTGAAAGGTGTCTGACATATTGTTGCTCAGCCACGCTTGAAATTATTAATGAGAATATAAGTTCATTTATTTGAAAACTGTGGTTCCCATGTAGAGGAGGATGATTTAAAAGAATAGTTTATATTTTTAAATTTCTTAGTGGCAAGCTTAACTTGGGAAGGGGGACTGGTTGTTCAGTAGAAACAAAAAATACCAATCATAATTATAATGTAGAGAGTGTTCCAACCATTTCAAATATTTAATTATGATAAAAGTTGTACTTAGCAAAGCAGTAAAAATATCAAATAAAAAGAGGTAATATTTTAATTGGTGAAAAGTTCAAAAGGAGACACTCTAAACTTTAGAATATAAATCTAAAGCATAGTTGTATATTTTGAGTACTATATATACTATATGCTGTATAGATAGCCAATGGTAAGTAAAATATAATGGTTATGTTACAGGGTTGCCTTAGATGACATATGGCTATCAAAAACATGAAATCCTAAAAGAACATCCTCAAGTTCAAGATTTCTACCAAAAATAAACAGATACGCTGTCTGGGTTTGTGGAGCTGGAATTCATAAGGTATTCTTCTATGCATACTTTGCTAAGGCTTCTCTTTTATTTGCCACTAAAATGTCAGCATAGTAGCTGAGAAAGAAAGAAAGCTCATCATTAAGAAGGATGGATTTTGAAAAGCAGACTGTCAGGCTTAAGATTCTAGAAGCGTTTTATTACCTGGCCCAGATGGGGGGAAGGTCGGTAGGTCAGTGAAGGAAGACGATCTCATTTGATTCTGGGACAAGGTTGATGCTAAAAGCAGATCGCAAACTGAAGTCAGTAAGGAAATGGGCTTTCCTGTTTCTTTGGGATGGTTACTTCGCGGGAAATGTTAGTTTTCCCTAACAACAAAGCGTATGCATACTTAATGCAGAAACTTTGAAACACAGAATAATCCCATTACCTAAGATAACCATTGTTAACATTGTGGATTGTGTCCTTCCAATCATTTTTCCGATGCTGATAAATTGAATTTTTAAATAGTGATTCACTGTACAATCCATTTTACAGACTGCTGTTTTCATGTAACAATATGTTATGAACATTATCCAGTGGGTAGACTTTTAAACATATCCGTTTCAAAGTCTTCTTAATAATTTCACACTCAGAGTAAACAAAGCAGTGAACAGTCAAGGCTATACCTACCTCCTTGGGACTGAGAATCTGTAGTATGCAAAGTAAAAGATGAAGACCGTATGCGCTTTCTTGAAAATCCATTACATTCTGCAAGAAATTCAACTTGAAGGGTAAAATTGCTTACAGTAACAAATTATCCTCAACTAATGACATGGGAGGATAAACAGGATTTCTTGTTGTTTACATAGATCATCATTTGATAACATGCTAACTCCTGAAGCACAATTTTACATATTGGTGTTAATAGCTTGGTGATCATAAACCATAGGTATATCACCCTAGAATGAAACCATCAGAAATGAGTGGCTTTGGCAATAAATTGCATATAAATTTAGACTCTGTAGAGAATGTTTTTGGTTGATTGAGCCACAGGCAGTGGAGACTCACGGAACTTTAGAGCTGTTAACATCAGCGTTCTCAGGGACCTACATAGCATCTTTCAAAATAAAAGGCAGTCTATTTTCCTGTTTCAGCACGAGAAGAACCAATAGGTTTAATGTAGTCTGTGCCACATGCCAAAATGTTTGTGCCTGCTTATTTTGTTTGTATAAAAGATTGATTTTTGAAACACAGGATGTAAATCATTACCATGTTCTGCTGGTTCATACAGGGTGTCTTCTGCAGGTCTCTGGAAGGAAACAAAGCTGCCAATGAGAGCTGAGTGTTTGCTGTTTTTACATCAGATTTCCACCCTGTCACTTTGTAAGAGAATTTTCAGAAGCCAGGTCTATTCAGCTAAGCTAGGGCAAAGCCTACTAACCAGGCATGTATTCAAGAAAAAGCACAATCTTAATAAAACAGTTTTATATTTCAGTGAGTGCAGAATCCCTGTGGGAACTTGTTTAAAATGAGGATTTTGAAACACCAACTCTCAGGGTTCTGAAGTGGCTGGCCTGGAGTGGGGAATCTGCTTTATCAACAAGGGCTTGGGGCTTAAATTTTTTTCTTTAGTTAGTTTTCCGGGGAGTAGGGTAAATTACCTTCATAAGCAAGAACGAATAACAAGAAAACACTAACTAAATAAGCTAAAGTGAAATGCTACTAATCTTATTCTTCATTTTTCAAAACAAGTGATTTTAGTAGGCTGCTGGAAAAGCAGAGAGGGTCTTTAAGATCACATTTAAGTCAAATGGCACAGTTGAAGACTGGTTTTATGCCCAGTTTAGGCTAGATTGGTGATGGAGACCCATGAGGAAGCTCAGCTCTCTTAATCTCTTACACTCCCTCCCCTTTCCAATTTACTAAAAATGAAACAACATATGATTTTAGTAAAAATGGTATGTTATCCACAGTGTGCAGACGAGACCTCTAGCTTTCCATTTCAGTCAAACTGCTGTCAGCAAATACCTCTTATATAAATATTCTGCAGGCACTACTCTACTAAGTGAGAAACAAGAGGATAAAGTCAGGCAGCAGTGATATCATTTAGCAGAGCTGGCTTCTTGAAATACAGTTTTCTTTGTCAAAGTAAAAATCAAAACACGGAAAATAGCTTGGTCTTACCTTAAAAGTTTGTTCTCTCTTTTCAAAAACAAATATTGGTTGAGCAATGACAGATTTTTCTGTAAAAGAAAAAGCACAGGCAAGAAATCAAACCATATTCTGTAATACCAACCAAAAATATTTGAAGATTCTTTTCTGTTTGTATTTTTCTTTTCCTTTGGGTAAAATCTAAACTGTTTTACATGCACACTCTAACTTGCATATTTACAGAGTATTTTAACAGTTAGTTGCAGAAATCAATACTTGGGGAAAGTGATTGTAGTAAGTTTCCACAGAGAGATCATCTCATTAAAAGAATATGATTTAAATGTTTACAGAAAACAAAATGATCGATATTTAGAATTGCATCCACATGTAGTGATTAATACCTTTACTTTTAGAATAAAAATTTCAAGGGGTGAAAAATTTCATCTGAAAGTGTACTTCTACTTGAGTAGGATTTCAGGATACAAATCATATAGATGGACTACATTCCATCCTCAAAATAGTTTGTATTTCTTTGACTGAAGTAATGATATACTGAGCCATGTTTTCAACATTTAGACTAAGACTCAGTCCTAAATAGTGTTGTCAAGTAGGTAAACATTGCCTTCAGCCCTGCCACCCTTATTTGTCTTTTATGTTTTCTTATCATAGGTAAGAAAATATAAAGTCATACACTCTAGGGTATAAATGAGTGATAGCAACTTTATATATCAGCACTTCAGAATTCTTAGGGAAAATTATGAGATTGTTAAGAGCTTGGGCTCTGGAATTAGATAGGCAGGTGTTCAAACTAAGCTCTACCACTAACTGGTTATACTTTAGGAAACAGTAACTTTTTGTAAACAGTCTGTAACTTTAGTTTCCTCATCTGAAAATAATAAAAGAAGATTATAACAGTACTTATCTCAAAGAGTTTATGTGAAGACCATAAGGATTTTTAGATATAATTACTTAGATTTTAACAAGACCAAAAAAAAAAAGCCTCAAGGAAAGGATATTAAGTGGGCATGCCACCAATTCCTATTCTGAAACTCAAAGTTGACATTGCTAATTTATGACACTTTGTTTTAATTGAAGTATAAATGATAACTCTGTCTTGATGAGTTCAAATATGACCTCAGAACTTTTCTCATTATAGATTTCCAGCAGCCATTGCCAATGTATTGTCCTGGCATACAAATTGAGGTAATTTTCCATCCTTAGGCTGAATAAATAAAACTCTAAATAAGGAATGTCAAGGAATTACCAGACATTTACACCTTTCATATACCAGAAAGGGGTTCTCTAGTTCTCCACATTCTTATCCCATTAAAGAGTTAAATCTCTGTCAGACTATCCTTTACCAAACTCCTAGGACCATGGTGAACTTGGTACCTTCTTTCTATCTGGTGAGGTAAACCGTTCACCTTTTTATGCAGGTGCTTACTGCACTGTCTGCCCTTGGAGTCAAGTGAGCCCCAGAAGAGAATCCTCAATAACATTAGCTTTCCATCCACATTAAACTATAGCTCAATTCTTTGTTCTTTCTCAAAAAAGCTCCTCTTCCAGCAATTCCATCAGCATTAGGAAATGAGATCTCTAGTGACTTCAAAAGGAATTAGTCTTGGTCGGTGTGCAGGGGAATACTTATGAATTAGAATGATAAATGGGCCTCTTCTAAACTGGACTTAGGATGGTCAACCTTAAAATAGCATGACTGGGCCTAACACTGGACAAATAACTGTTAACTTCCTATCAAACTGTTTTCTATCAAAACGTTCAGATAAACATGGACAAAAGTGATCTTCAGTGGCAGGATTAAGGAGGAAATCACAAAGAGTTACTTGCAGTTTGGAGAGACACTTTTATTAATTAATCCAACAAATATTTATAGAGCATATTTCTTTGTGCCGGCCACTGTGCTAGGATCTAGGTATATATTGTCTAATTAACGATATATTAGCCTCAGTGAAGCCAGCTTCTCTCCCTGACACTGCCCAGCACTTAAGTTAGAAAGCAAATACTCTCCATGTCTCCTCCTCTTTATCTCTCCCAAGTTGTTCTCTTGGCTCCAAAGCTAAAACCAAAAGTAAGCATTTATCAAGCCATTGAGTCCATAGCAGTTTTCTTACCTGATCCAGTAGGAAAATTTGAAAATAAAGGGAAGATCCTTAAAATGATTTTATAAATGTATCTTTTCTTCTTTCTAATATAATCATTAACCAACCCATTTATTCAACAAATGTGTTGAGGGATGACGATGCAGAACACACCTTGCAAGGTGAGAGAGAGAGCAAGCCACCCAGGAGGAGGCTGACTGAGGGCTTTGGGTTTGCAGAGACCTGCATGCTGTGCTAGAGTTTGATTTTATTCCATGAAAAATGGGAAATCAGTAAGAAGTCTTAAGCACCGGAGTGATTCATTTGTTTTAAGATCACTCTGCCTGCTGTGTGGAAAATGGATTCAAGGGGCAAGAAACCGAGAGAGAAGAAATAAGGAATCTAATTCAGAATTAGTCTAAATTCTAGAAGAGAGCTGACTAGATTGCTTTTATTTCTCTGTTAATTTTGCATCCTTTTTTTTTTCAGAGGCAAGTGCCTAATTAAAAGTTTAAAATATAGTCCTCTGGTAAAAGGAATGAAGATGAGGGGACAGAGAAGAGAAACTTATAAAACTTGAAAAATTAATTTTGATGTCTGGTCTGTTTTAAGGTTCATGTAACATTTAATGAGTCCTTATATTCATTGTTTTCTGAAATTCTCCTTTTAGAGAAAACATTCATTCAAATATTATTAACTACCTGAGCTGGTTTCACTATATTTTTATTAATTTCTGATTTTTCATTATAATAAAAAATTTTAACTGTTGTATTATTCTTATATGAATTATATATTGTTATGTTATGATATTAACCAACATTATTAAGTACCTGAGGTTCTATAATGCAAAATGGTGGTTAGGTGAAAGCTTACAAATTATATTAGTTTCTTATGGTGGCTATAATAAATTACCACAAGGTTGTTGGTTTAAAACAAAAGGTATGTTATCTTACAGTTCGGGAGTTGAGAAGTCTCAAATGGATTGTCAGGGATGCGTTCCTGCTGGAGGCTCAGGGAGAATCCATTTCCTTGCTTTTTCCAGCTTCCAGAGGTTGCCCTCATCCCTTGGCTCGTGGCCCCACATTGCTCCAGCCTCCACTTCTGCTCTCACATCCCTGACTGGGACACTCCTGCCTCCTTCTGTCTTATGATGACCTTTGTGACTGTACTGGGTCTCCCAGAATAATCCAGGAAAATCTCCCTATCTTGACTCTTAACTTAATCACATCTGTCAGGTTTCTTTTGTCATGTAAGGGTACATATTCAAAGGCTGTGGGCATCAGGATATAGACATCTTTAGGGAGTCATTATGACTCTGCAGACAACATGTTGAGACCACAGCGTTCACTTTCAACTTGGTTCACAGAATGCTGGCAGCGGGTGTGTGCCCTCTAGGCAGGAAGGAAAGCCTGACCAGCCCTGAAGAAAAGTCCTAAACATATTGACAAAGGAATTCCCTAATGAATGGTCAAGCCAGATGGTGAGTCCCCTGTTCAGGTATACATGGCTGCCAATAGCTTTTTAGTGAGTGCCCATTTCTTAAATACAGTCAGGCAGTCAAGGATACCAGGCATGAAACATGAAACACAGTGATTAAATGAGTAAACAGGAGAAAAGTAAGTTAGATGAAAAAGACTACACAGGGAATTATATATACATATATATATATGTGATGAAACATCCATGAATCAAAAGCAGAATACTATTTTCTAAAAAAGAACAGAGAATAAGAATAAGCTTTTAGAAATTAGTTCTTAAATATGATAGAATCACAGAATCAATATTGATTTAAAAAACCTACAGAAGATTTAGAAAATAAGGTTGAATAAGTAGCTCAGAAAGCAGGAAAAGAACAGAAATGGAAAATATGATTTAAAAAAATAAGATAATACGGATGATCAGTCCAAGAGTCACTTCAACACCTAATAGGCACTCTAGAAAAACAGAATATAGAAAACAGAGGGGATGAAATGATCAACAAATAGATCTTTAAAATTTCCCCAAATTGAAGGACGTAAGTTTCCAGATTTAAAGAGCCCATCTAATGCTCAGGAAAATATATGAGAATAGATCCATAGCCAGTGCACACCATGAATGCTTAGAATAGTGTGGATAAAGAAAAGGTCCTAATAGCACTAAAAAGGGAATAGAAAAGTTCACATACAAAAGGTCAGGTATCAGAATGGCTTTAGGCTTCTCAACAAGACTGGAAGTTAGAAATCAAAGGAGCAATGTTTTTCACATTCTGAAAGTAAATGATTTCCAATCTAGGATTATATACTAATATCAATGAAGTGTGAAGATATGATGAAAATATTTCTAGACTGCAAGATCTTAAAATATGGGTTCTACAGGTAGCCATTCTCAAGATGCTTCTGGAGAGGCTCTAACAGAAGAGCTAGTCAACTAAGGATCCAAGAAACAGAGAGGAACCACCTCAAGAGAGATGAAAGCCATCTGCAAGATGATGGTGAAGGGGTATTCCAGAATGACAGCAGTACACCAGTCACAGCCAGCAGCCAGTCCATGACTGGGGTGGTGGTGGGGGAATCCCAGGAAAGACAGCTCCGAAAAGGGCACTAGAACTAGCTGAGTATCTCAAGTGGTTGAATATTTTGAAAGAATATTTAAATCATTGGAGAACAGCTTGGAGACTGACTAGTAATAAATATATGGAGAACTAAGGAAACAAACACAAAACAAATAATCATTAAATCCAGGGAAAACAAAAAGTTGTGCATGAAAGGAAAAGTAATCATAAATCTTACATGGGTCAATTGCAATAGTTTCTCATAGTCCCAGTAATGTCAATACTGAATACTGACCTAATTAAAATTTATGATACAAGGATTTGAGGAAGATGGACAAATAGAAAGTATGTATGTGTATGGTGGT